GTTTAGGACTCAATAAAAAAATAAAATCAATATGTTTTCAGCACTACCTACTGCATTCCTCAGACAGTCCATGGGAAAAAGAACCAACCTGGGTCACTTTAAAAAAAAAAAGTTCCTTGAAGATGGAGTGTTTGGAGGGCATCCAAATACGCAAACACATTCCCCCGGCAGGAGGACCAGAAGCAGCGCTGCCTCCCAAGGGGCGGACGCCTGAGGGGCAGGAGCGGGCCAGAGCCCTCAAAACCGCTCCAGTCACAGCCACACTTCTTCACACACCTCAGTGAACCGTTAAAAAGGGGAAAAAAAAAAAAGGAGCCCATGGGAAACAAATGCTATAAACTAGATTTCAACACTAGATTAAAAACACAACAACAACAACAAACCCGCTTCAGACCTCAGCCTTGACTTAGGGCGTCAAGAGAACAGGAGAGGCAAGCCGGGGCCGACTGCCTTGGGGACAGCCGTGGAGTTCTCTGGTGACGTGGGAGGGATGAGGAGGAGCTCCTCAAAGCGCTGGAACGCTCTGTTGGAGGTTTCCAGCGCCTTCGTCCGGCTAGACGCTGCTTTCTGCTGGGTGCGCAGAGGGAAACGGTCTCTGCCCCGTGCCGGGCGCTCCAGCAAACTCTGCAGACGGGAAGGTGTAACCTGGGATTCAGGCGGCAGAAGCCAAACAAGAGGCTGGGGCAGGGGTGGGCAGGCTCGGTCAAGGGCGGTTGGCTAACGCGTCCTTAAAAACAGCACAGCGGACACCTCGTGCAAGCGGAGGAACAGAACTAAATATCCTTTAAGAGCCACGGAACAGAGGCCCTACGCAGCCAGCGCGCCTGGCCCGGACGATCGGCCCTCCCTGAAGGCAGCACTGAGAGAGAGCACGGCTCAATGAGAACAGGTTTTGGAAAAATTTTATTGCATTTTGTTTCCATGTGGAAGCACGGACAGAAGTGAAAAGAGGCAGCATGTTCCACTTAACTGTTCATGGAAAAATCACATGGCTCGATGAGCTTCCTCCCTATCCTGGATTGGGTTTCATAAACCTTATCCCCTACCCCACCCCAAGCACAGGCTAAAAAAGGAGGTTTGTGGTGATCACTTATAAAAAACCAAATCCACGTGTACGAATTCACAGATGGTCAGTCCTCTGATTTCTGTGACTTCTGCATTGGCTGGGCCCTCCCTGTCCCTCGGCCTCCTCATCTCCCCACTCTCTTCTGGCCTTCCTCTTAGAAGGGGGATTTCACAGGGGAAGTGCCTCCAGGGGGCAAGGCCGGTTCCCGGGAGCGGGGTGGCCATCCGCCAGCTTTCAGGAGTCTGGGGGCCGTGATGCCGACCTTGCATCCCCGTCAGCCCCAGGCTGGGACGACGGCCTCCCAGGTTAAAATACAGGTAAGACATGGCTACGTGCACATGTAGGTGTCTAAAACATCAGAAAGGGAACCCGCTTTAGAGATTTACAAAATGGGGTGGAGGGGGTTCACGCGCGGGGGGATGTGGCCGTGTCACTCAGCATTAGTGCCGCTAACCAGCCACCTTGTGGGGAGGGGGAGGGGTGCTAAGAGTAAGCAGCCGTGACAAAGGAAACCTGAAATCGCATGATTTGTTTTCTCCTTTTGACTGTAAGGCATTTAGAGCTGGAAAAACGTCTCTCCTTCACACTCTTCCAAATAATCAGCAGGAATATAACTGGTGATTCAGAATACAAATAAGACCCCTTTGATCCCCCCCCCCAAAGTCACTCAACACACCCAAGCCCATGGAGTACAAGGAGGCAAACCATGTCCACATTGGGGGATAAGGCCGCGGAGCCAAGGGCCCTTCTTAGGCTCCAGCCCTGATCCTGCCCCTCGCGGCCACAAGAGGTAAGCATCCGTCTTCGGTGATGTTTTAAGTCCCACGGGGGTGCCTGCCACGGCCTCCTGGGCAGCAGGAGGTCATGGCCCCCCCCGCCTCTCCTACGCATCCCCCACCAGGCGTCCGGGCTGGTCCATCCGCACACCAGCCAGCCGCTCCCTCAGTTAGTCGAGGCGGGCATGGCCCGGAGACCGCACCCTCCACGTTAGTCAGGCCAGACAGACAGCAGAGAGGAAACCAGAGGCCAGAGAAGTGATTTTTAAAAAAGGAAAAAAAGAAGAGCAGCTTCGGTCACCAAAAAATAGAAAGGATGATCTCTTAAAAATAAAACATGGGGACTTTTTTTTTTTTTTCTCTGCAATGCTCAGCCATTTTACTTGAGACATTAAAAAAAAAAAGTTTTAGAGTAGTTGGTTTGCTTTTTTTTTTTTCGGTTAAACATTCATGAGAACGGATGGGACGGTAGTGCTGGTCCTTCAGACCACATACTGGTATGGGTCTGCCTTCCCTTGGTCTGGCGTGGCAAAGGGGCTGGCCCAGCCTAGAGAGAAGGGGTGGCCAAAAACGGCTTTCATGTTCATCCATTTTGTTTTTTTAGCCCATCTTCTCTCTTCCTTTTTCAATTGTTCTATTCCCTGAAAACAAGAACAATCATACTTTCAGTCAAGCACTTTATTGCTGTGGTTTTTGGGGAGGGATGGCCATTAGCTTGAGGTGAATGAAGTCAATGCTTCCTTTCAAAGCCATAAAGCTGCCTACATCGTACATTTTTCTTCTTCTCTCATCGAAAGTGTCAAAGGAAAAAAAAAATTTTGGTGGGGGGAGTGGGGGTATGTGGGCACATATTTACAAGTCCCTCCAGGAAGGGAGGGGAAAGTGAGCAAATCCACAGGCCGCTGAGCCAGGATTCCTACAGGCATGTGGATTCGGGGTGTTTTGCTAAGTGAAGGAGCCACATCTATGCAGACGGGGCTCCGGCCTGGTGCTGGGCCTGGCTGTGTGTGGGGCTGCTGGGAAGGCTTTGGTGCAAGAAACCTCAGAGCTGGAAGGGGCTCAGGATCGTGACAGCCAATGCTGGCCTTTAATTTGGGTAGGTTCAAGTTTGACACGACTATGACCACTTTGCAGACAAAAAAAAAAAGGAACAAATGAAATGACCGCTCTGGCACTGTGGTCCCACCAGCCTGGGAGGTCAAGAAGCCCCCAGCCTAGCGGGGCGGGCAAGGCAGACCTGAGAAGGTCGACCAGGAGTCAGAGACCGTGGGTGAGGGGAGAAGCCACCACAGAGGAGGAAGGAAAGGGATTAGTAGAGGTTAGAGGGGCTGCCTGGACAGACAGCCAGCCCCGGACATGGCAAAGGTCTTCCTAGTGCTCCTCTGGGAAGAATCGAGACCAGAGGCCACCTCGGTGGTTGTCCAGAGCCTGGGCTGTTCCCCCCACTGAGTCTCACAGGAAAAGCAGGCTGGGGAGGGAGCCCGTTCCCTCCCTTCTCCCCTCTTCCGATGGAGCTGGTCAGCAGGCAGGGCCTGAGGATGTGCCCTTGCTCGGAGAACAGGAGAGAAGGGGCCTGGCAGGAGCCTGGCCGAGGGTCTGTCTGCCGTGGTCTCTGGTGAGGACGAGGAACCGGGAGGAGTCGGGAGGGGCCAGCCTAACTCAAGTCTCTGTTCAGGGCCAGGGAGCTGGGAGGGTCCAGGCCAAGGGGAAGACACGCTTTCCCCAGACATGCCCTTCCTTCTTTTCTGCTTTCCTTTCCAACACAATTCCCTTTAGGAATGGCCTGGAAGGAGAAGAACAGCTAGGGCCAGGGCTGTGTGTGTTTTCTTTCTGGCTCCCCCAGACCTCGGCCTGTGTGACCTGGCCGCAGGCAAGAGTGGGCCGGATGGTCACCTCTGGGTTCCCTGTGGCTCTTAGGCAGAGAAGCTGGTCACACCTACTGTTGGACACACAGCCAGGTCTACACTGTTGGCTACTATTTTTACAGAAACTCTTACAATGATATTATTATAAAAGATTTAAAAAGTTGCTCAGAGCCCCCCCGCCCCATTCTAAACCATCGGGAATTCCCACAGATCCAAAAGATGGTGGCTTGGCGGCCAGGGAGTGCCAAACCCCGGATTTTCCACACCCGCAGGGAGGGGCCTGGGTGGCAAGGAGTCTGTCTCCCTACGAGCCTCCATCTGATGCTGACTAATCTGCAGGCCCAAAGCCGCCCCACAGGGCCTTAGATGACTGCCACCTGCCACCTGAGGGGGACCTTGGGAAGCCAGGAGGAGTGCCAAGAAGGGCCCAGGACCTCATGCCTCTCCTCCTCATACCAAACTAAGTGCTGCCCCTTCCTCCCGGGGCTCCTCACCTGGAGCCCAGAGCCAAAAAGAAAGAAAGGCCCACATCACAGCAATGGACTGACCACCTTGAGACTTTTGGACACTTAGGACAGACAGGTGGCTGTGGCACCAGGGGACTGGGCTCCAGTCCTGCCCAGCCAGCAGCCTCGAAGTTCCCAGCGAAGGAACTGTGGGTAAGGTGGAGGTAAGGGTTGGGGCACAGGGGAAGGGCAATAGACGAGGACCAGAGCCGGACCAAGCAAAGGTACCCAATGGCCAGGTGAGTGCTTGTGGCCCACAGCTCAGGGATGCTTGAGGCAGGCTGTTTCCTGACTCTGCCCTCTGGACCTACGCATGGAGTCACCTACTCCAGGAAGTTGACCCTGCCCATTTTAGCTGGATTCAGGCCCCCTTTGTCCATCATCCTCTCTCCAGGCCTGTAGTCCTCAGATGGGAAGGGTGTCCCTGTGCCCAGTAGAGTGCCTGACACAGCACAGTGTGTAACAGAACCATCATGGGAAGAGGGAAGGACTTTTGGCAAAGGGCACCCTTCACCAAGGCTGCTAGGCCCCATTCCTGGTGTGACCTGCTATGCCGGCCGCAAGGGAAGGCGTGTGTGTGTGTGTGTGTGTGTGTGTGTGTGTGTGTGTGTGTGTGTGTAAGATCCAGTGTCACTGCAAATGGAGGGATGTGGCCTGCACACCTCGCACCTGGGCCTTGGTCACTGGGCTCCCAGGTCTGGCCTGCATGCAGCCCTCCCAGCAGCACCTGCCCAGGGTCCTCCCCCAAGCCCAGGAGCGGAGGTGAGGGGGCAGGCTGCCCGCTTACCGTTTCATCTGTGCAGATGGAGTGCACCTGCGTCCCAAACATCACAGATGTGAAAATGAGAAAGAGCAGCCCCTCAAAGCACAGCAGGATGAGGAGGATCACTGTGGTAGGTGGTGAGAAGGAGCTGCACTCTGAAAGAGAAGGGTCGTGTGGGACTTGGAGCTGCTACCCATTGCCCGCTGTGCGCCACTCGATGTCCCCAGGGCTCCCGCCCTGCCTCCAGCCCCGCAGGACCCGGTTCCTCCTGGGTGCCATGTGTCCCTGGCCTCCAGGCCAGGGAGGGCACCATGCTGCCTCACATCTGGCTGCACCAGCACTCCCTCGGGGAAGCCCTTCTCCACAGGCCAGGTCCCTCCTGGGGCTTCCCCTCCTAACACCTCTTAACTGCTGCTCTTTTCCTGGCCAGGGTCTGTATCCTGCTGCCGTGCACAGTGCCTGGCACATGGAAGGACCCAGAAAAGCCTCAGGGCTGAGGCATGAAGATGAAGCCAGGGGGAGCCTCCTTCCCTCAGACAGCACAACACAGGCTGGACATTCCTGCACCTCTGTCTGCTTCTGGGGGACAGGAAAGGGCAGGTCCAGAGGATCACTCAGGGGTTTTGGGATTCGAAGTCTATGAGGGGGCAGTCTGGCTACTGGGCTTGGCCCTGAGCTAGGGGTGAAACAAGCCCCCTGGGAAACGCCCTTCTCAGGAGCATCTGCATCACTGAGACGGTCAGTCCAACCGGACAGCCGCCTGGCCAGAGCAGCTGCTTTCGATCTCCCGGCCTCTCTCTGAGCCCAGGCTGCTGGGGGGGTGTGACCTGAGATAAGTCCTTGTCCCTGTCCAGGCCTCCACCCCCTCCTCCTAGAGCAGCAAGGTTTGACCAGATGTGTGGTTCTGTTTTCAGCACCAGAAGCCTCTGTCTGGACCAAGTCTAAATCAGAAGCACCCCCAACTGGAGAGAAAAGCCGAGGGAGCTGTGGGAGACGGTGGGGGGGGGGGGGGCTGAGGGAATGGGGATGACACTGGGAGACGGGGATCTGATCCCAGCCAATCTCCTGCCCCCGCTGATGGCTGCCTGGGCCTGTCACAGCCCGGCTTGTGGTGCATGTTTCTCGTTGCCCCAGGGTGCAGGCCTGTTGCCCTGGCTGGAGGGGTCCGATCTGGGAGGGCTGGGCCGGGCTTCCCTGGGTTTTGGGAACTCAGGGAATCTGGGGATGCCCTGCCGCCTCCGTCGCGGGAGCTTCACCACAATGGGCCTGGAGACACAGCGCTGTCCAGGTGGTGAGGTGAGCCACATCTCATCCAAATGCCTTTATCTCCTCACGCTTCCCTCGGAACTCAACAATGCCTGCGGACACTTTCCCCTCTGGCTTCCTTGCTGGCAGGGCCTGGGTGGGCTGGCCCCGGTCGGCTCCAGGTGTGGCAGCCGCCTGCCTGGCCGCTGGGTGGGGCGATGGGCAGAACGAGGGTTCCACAGTCAGGCAGGCACAGCAGGGTGAGGATCCTGGAGCCGACTCCCCACCATGAGCTCTTGCTAAGATGCCCCCACTAATAATCTGTGGCCCCTGCATCTTTCCTGTCCCGCACCCCATGGAATCATGTTGTTCCTGTCCTTGCTTGCTGTCTGCCTTGCCCACACCTGCAGCCCCAGGAGGCCGGGGCTTTGGCTCCCTGCTGTACAACCAGCCTTGCAGTGGTGCCCGATAACACAGGACTGTGGGCACATGGCTGGGGCTCTCTGCGCTTTAGTTCTCCCTTCGGCTGGGTGGCGTGGCTGAGAGCGCACGAGAACATCCGCACAGGTCGGCCCGGGCCCAGCATGAGCACATGGCCGGTGCCCCCTGGATGGAGGCGCCTTGCCCCTTCCTTCCCCACCTCGGCTGCCCCGGGGCTGGGGCAGGAGGCAGAGCCCAGCGCCGTGGCCTGCTCTCCATCCCCACCCAGCTACATGGACCCTTCCCCTCCTGGGCTGGCCCCCGGGGACTATGAACGGAGTTGGGGAGGCAGGAACCAGACCCAGGAAATGTACAACTACCACTCTACCCTCCGTTAAACCTCAACTCAAAGCGCCCTCATTCTGGGGACACCCCCTTCCCTTCTTACACAAGCTGGACGTGAGACAGCTCGGCCACGGCTGAGCAGTCACGGTAGTCGCTGTCACACTGGGCCAATCTCAGGCTTCCACTCTGGGGACTGTCCTCCTAGCCTAGCAGCCACAGGCACCACTACCTCGACCCTCTTCCATCAGGAATCTTGACTGAAGACCACCAAGAACCCTTAGGGAGGACCCTGGGCCCCGGGGTCATTGAGGCAGGGCTGGAAGAGCCCGCTCCAGACCAGGGCTTGAAACACGGCCCTCCTCTTAGACGTGTGAGCTTGGGGACTGCCTAGACCCCTGCGAGCCCCAGCTTTTGTCACCCACTAAGTGGGAGCCTCTCTCCTGCCCTGCGGGCTTGTCGTAAGGTTAAAGTAAGGCGCTGCTCACCACGCCCTGTGCACCCCAGCTGGCTCTCAGCGCTCAGTACTGACATGGCCCGTCAGCTGTGCTCTGAAAACAGAGACCTTCTGCCTCATAGACGGTCCGGGGCACACTCATCACTGCCTGAGTCTGTTAACCCGACAGCGGTGGGTGGGGGGCAGGGGGCGACGGGTTGATGAAACGTCCTTGTCAGACTCCACTGCCAAGTTGCCAAGGCCACATCTGGAGTCGGACTGGATGGCCAGGGCCTAGCAGGGTGTGTGCACTCGCAGAACATTTACCCAGGAAAGTGCTGGGGCCCTGCCCAGCTCTGCAGCTTGACCTTCCCCGTCTGGCTGGTACCAGAACTGCAGCAGGCACAAAAACTGGGAGGCACAGTGACACCGACTGAACCGTGTCACCCGCAAAATTCACAGGTGGGAGCCCCACCCCCCATGTGATGTTATTTGGAAATGGGGCCTTTGGGAGGTGATGAGGGTTAAGTGAGGTCAGGAGGGGGGTCTGTGGTGTTTTGTCATGGCAGCCCCAGCTGACTGAGACTCATGGGGTTCTCCTCCCCTAGGTGGGGCCAGGCCAGGCCGGGCAGGGGGCAGGTCGGGAGCTAGAGATCCCATCCTTCCCACGGCCTCCCCAGTTCTGGGGAACAAGAACAGCAAGCTAGTGCCCAAGAAGACAGTACGTACAGGAAGAGCGAGGTTCTGAAAGGTGGTGCAATGGAAAAGGAGGCCCATCTGATGCTTCTGCTCAAGATGTTTGTCTCACGGACTGAGTGTGCGTGTGTGAGTTCTCGCCCAGCACGTGGCCTCTCTTAATTCCTCCAGCATCTATTAAAATTTTGTTCTCTTCTCTCTTATTTTTATTCTTCTTTAAAATCATAAAACTGCATTTGTTTTCCCAGCATCTATTTTTTCCCTCAGGGTCTGTGTGGTCTCCTGGCTGGAGTTCCTTCCTCAGCGTTTGTGCGTGAAATGGATTCCACTAAAGCAGGAAGGAGCTGCTCTGCGATCTCAGTGTGGCTTGGTGAGGAAGCAGTTAAAAAACACCCACAGAAAACAAAAGTTCAGAATAGAGTTCTGTGAGATTGGAATGAAATGACTTTTGGTTAAAGTGCCTCTTCTTCTTTTTTTTTTTTAAGTAGGCACCACACCCAGCGTGGAGCCCAACGTGGGGCTTGAACTCACGACCCTGAGATCAAGAGTCGGACGCACTCAACCAACCGAGCCACCCAGGCGCCCCTAAAGTGCCTCTTCTTAAAGACAAGGAGACAAAGGTTCTCTCCCTGGCAAGGCTCCCGTGCCCTGGGACGTGCTTCTTGCAGGGCACGCTTAGGCTAGAGGGTCTGTCCAGCTCACTACTTTACCTGTGGAACTGACTTTAGGGGGCTGCTTTTTTTCATGAAGCGAGATTCGGGCCTCTGCTGTCCCTTCCCTGGTCAGTCCGTAGGCTTGCAGCAGATCTAATAAAATGGGGTTGGCCCCTGGCACCATGACACAAACCAAGAGCCCGCCCCCCGTGGGTCGCACACTGTCCCTTGGAGCAGGATGGGGAGTTCTGGCACATACTCACTTGTCCAGTCTTCTTCAAAGCAGTGCAGAAAGTGGAATCCCACCATGATGAGGGCATGCAAGGAAATGAGAGCTATGTACATCTGAAACAGGAAAGCAGGGCAGATGCCGTTGTTGTGAGAACCTTCTGACAGTGCGGGTTCCTGGGACAGGGGTGCTCAGGACCTCCCATTCCGGAACACTCAGTAAGGCTGAGGGCTGACTGGGAGAGAGCCAGGAGGCCTCTGGTGATTCCCCTAGGGGTCTCCCGCCCTGGCTCTGGGACCAAGGTGAGTGTGTGTCGAAGAAGAGACAAGCGCCCGTCGCCGGGTGTGACCTGGGCTCTAGGTGGGCCAGGGCGTTCCGGGCCGGTGGCTGCCCTGCACTTGAAAACTCAGAGTGCTGACTGCCAAGGGCTCTTCCAGCCCTCTTGCTAAATCTCTACCTACCTGCAGCTGAGGGAGGGCTTGCAGTCACCACCAAAACTGGCTTCTGTAGCTACTTAGCCTGGACACTTTGGGTGGGAGCCCAGCACACAGCCCTTGCTTAGAGACGATCGCCTCGAGCCAATGTGCTAGGTGCTCAAGTGGAGGGCTTAGGAACAGGCACTTGTTGAGCCCAGGAGCGCTCTGGCGGGAAGGCGGAGGCCTACGCGGCCAGGCAAGACTCCGAACCAGCAGCACAAGACTCTGCGAGTGCCGAGAATTTTCGAAGGACCGAGCGCTCCGTTGCTCCGCGGAGGGTGGGGCAGGCCTGGGAAGCTGACTTACTGTAAACAGGACGAAGTACTTCTGGTTGTTCTCGCCGACACAGTTATTGACCCAGGGACAGTGGTGGTCCATCTTCCGAATACACCGCTTACAAACGCTGAAAGGGCCCATAAGGCAGACCTTCAGGGGTGTCCTCACGGCGGCAGGGGCCCGAGGAGAGCAGAGAACCTACCCCCCAGCTCTACTCCGAGCACAGGGCCTCCTCGGGCACTGCCTGGTGAACTGCTGGGGGTGTGGCAAGGAGCCTGGAAGGCGGGGTCAGGACCCCCAGGGTCCCACTCATTCCCAACAGGGGACAGTCACTGGCCAACAAGGCCCCTTCTCTTGTTTGACATGAAACAGGGTGGCACCGAGGGGCTGAGCAAGAGGCTGCTCTCTGGTGCTCACAGTGAGCCGCAAGCTGGTTTACTGAGAGGATAGAGCGAAGAGGCGGTTTACAGAAAACAGGTACTCCCAACTTCCCGTAAACACCCAAAACCCGAGGGCCAGGGGCCAGCTGGGAGGGTGTGGCTGACCGCAGAGGGCGCTGGGAGAGGAAGAGTGGGCTCAAGGGCAGGATGTCTTGAGGCAGGACGTGCCCCTCAAGAACCTTCCAGCTGGAAGGTAACCACCACTTAGCTGCAAAAGCAGAATGCATTTGAGCTGAAGTGTTGATGAGAAATCCCATTAATTTGCAAATTGCTCACTTGTAACTGGGCTCCTTTTGGGACTGGGACTGTTTCAAGCTTATCCGACAGCAAACATCCCTTTTTGGAAAAAATAATCTGAAACAGGAGTGCAGGTTCCTGGGGGCGTGAAAGCACCTACTCCCCAAACTCGGGTTTAGACACACCCCGTTGCCAACAGATAGCCTCACCAGATATGGGTCCTGTCTCAATTTAACATAGGCTCCTTGAAATGATCTTGGGGGTGTCATTTGTTCAAAACAGTTTTAAATACTGTAAATATAAGCCCGGGAATAATACAATTAAAGTGTTTTCTGTTTTGAAAGCCCCTTGGCTCACACCAGCTTTTCTTTCCACTAGTTTTCACAGCTAACTTGATCTCAGGTTCTGGGCTGTGGCAGGTGGACCCTGGTGGAAGGGCTGTGTCACGTTCCGGCGTGGGGAGCTCACACCTGCCAAGCTCTGGCTGGCCGCCCGTCCGGGCAGGGAAAGCACAGGAGGAGCTCTCCTGGGAGTGGAGGTGAGCTGCTCCCCAGACTCCAGGCCAGGAAGCACAGACCACTCTGAAGGAGAGCCCCGCGGCTAGGCCATGGCCAACTCGGAGCTGCGGGCTCATCCACACCCCAAGGGGGACGTGCAGCCTTTTCTGAGCAGGGCGTGAGCTCTGGTGGTAAGGCAGGCCTGGGCCTGCTGAGCTACCTTGGTCAGAATGGCCAAACTTGGAGCCTCGGGTTCCCCATCCACAGAAAGTGTTGTAAGGACAAGGTGAGGACTGATTGTGGGGGCCTGGCCAGTCTCCACCCTGGTTCTGTTCCACAACTTCGAAGGTCCTCACTAATATAGGGGGGAATGGGCACATCTCAGAGAGGCCGGCCCAGCTCTAGAATCTCCCTGGGAGCCAGGAGGGCAGGGGAAGAAAGAGGCATGAAAGGGACACAGACAGATATAAAGAGAAAGTCAGGTACCCGTCTCTCTGTGTGCATGTGTTACTAATTTAAAAAGTACATATGAATATGTATAGTATAGATTTCAATTAATAACACTTGTTCCCAGGATATAATTTTAAGAGTACAGACAAGTAGAGAGTGAAGACTGAGCCGCTCCCTGCATCCTGGGCCTCAGCCACCAGGCCCCACATTCCCTCTGCAGAGCCACCTTGCACGTCCTTCCTCAGCTCTGGGATCTTAGCTCCCTCCCAATCTGAGGACCAAACTCCCAAGGTTAAGCCCCTCCCTGCCCCAGGCTCCTGAGCCCTTTCTCCTCCATCTGTGCCTCCTTCTGCAAGGCGTTTCTAGTGGGTGCTCTGAGGCAGTGTTTGCTCAGCAGCAGAGAGCGGCCAAGTGGCCTGACATCCTCTGAAAGCCGCCTGAGTTTCAACGAGCTCTCAAGCAAATCCATCCTTTGCTCTCCTCCCAGCCTCTAAAGAGCCCCGGCGTGCACCCCAGGAAGTGGGTTTCACGGTGGGCTACGTGTCACTGGGCGGCCACGTCAGAGTGCCTCCTCCTCCTCCAGGGAGCAGGGACAAGCGAGCAGAGCCGCTGAGAGCAGCAGAAGTTGGCCCAGAGTGCCCGGCTCTGAGCTTCCTGTCTGCAAAGGCATGCAGTATTGTTCAGAAGCTGGCTCTGGGGCCAGGCGGGGTGCATGTGGGTGGGGAGTCCATCCATGAGCGTGGTGAGGGCCCCGATCAGGCACCGTCTCACACACGGCTCACAAAACCACCTGCCCAAACGGTTCTACATTTGGGGCTTGGAGAACACCAAGGGCAAGGCCTGCCCGTGTCCCGCCCACCTGCTCCGCCTCGGGCCCTATCCATCCTGAGGAAGAAAAAATGTGGGCCTCCCACAACCCCGGATACCCCAGTGGGGAATCGGTCACCTCAGAGCCAGCCCTCTTCCCACCCCCAGAGGCTGGGTGGGCAGCGGGGCTCCGTCCCCTCCCCAGACACCGGCCCTTTCCCTCTCTCCTCTCTGGGGCTCCTTACTGCTCTTTCCTTCCTGTGAGCACCAGCCCTCTCCTGAGCCTCCTCTTGGGCACCCCTCACTGCCCCTTTGCGAGACGCTTTGGGCAGGTGTGCTCCTGGGGCTCAGGCACCGCGGGCTGGTAGCACGTCCCAAGCTGCAGGAACAGTCGCTGCAAAGACCGAACATCTTCCACGGAGGCATCTTTTGATGTCCCTGCCTTTAGGGTTTCCTGAGCCCCTTCTGTGTTTTTAAATCAATGTTCTAGAAGAAGGCAATGCCCCTCCTTTCCCTCTTCCTCCAGGTTCCCTGCCATTTTTCAGGCCCCGAAGTACTTCCTTCAAAAGCTTGGTACAGCCTGACAAGCTCATTGGCTCACTCAGGCTCTTGGTTCTCAGGCCCCAAAGTTGCTGGCTGGGGCCCTTGCCCAAGCCTGGGTGATGGCCCACTGTGGAAACATAGCTGTGTCCCCGAGGGCCTGCGTCTCCCCCTACAGAGACACTTACCAAACTGTATCGGGGTGGAAAAGTGCACCTGCCCTGCCTGAGCGGAAGGCCCAAGGGTCAGGGCCACGTCTAATCCACCGCTACGGCCCAGGGCCAGGCCCAGGACCTCCTTAGCAAGGGGGAGCTGAGTGCAGTCCCTGAAGCTACAGATGGGGAAAGAGCAGGCCTGCAAAGCGGCTCCACCACATCAGACTGGGACGCCCGGCAGGGCACGAGCAAAGAACAAAGCTAGAGGGCACCAGGTGGACCCTGCTCCACGTCCAGGTTTTCACCCCACACCTCCTGCAAAAAAGCGTCTACCACATCATGGTCCCAGCTCTGCAACAATGTTGGGTGAGGAAGCCTGGTGCGGCGGCGGCGGAGAGAACACTGCTCTCAATCCCCATGTGGGGCCCTGGGCAAAGCAACTTAGCTTCTCCGAACTGCCCTCTGCAGAATTAGTCCACATCTCCCAAGGTTAGAGATGATGTAGGTAAAATGATTTAAAAACAATACTAGTGCTACATAAATTTTACCGGTGGTCACAACCATGAGAGAGACAACATAAGAATCTGGCAGGGACCCTAAGCCATCTGTGACTGTCTCAGCCTCAGCGTGTTTGTGGGGGTGGGGGCTTTGGGGAGGGGTGTGAGGCTTTGCCAGGGGCACAGGTCTCCACCTCTTTGTGCAAGAGCAACCTAACCCTTAAGCCCAACACCATGGCTGTCCACGTTAGCATGAATGGCTCCCTCTCCAGGATTTCCACAGGCCTCCATGGTCCTCAATGCCAGGATGAAAGCAGCCCGGCGTTCCAGAATGCCTCTCGGTGGAAAGAAGACGCACCCACACACCACCGGCCTGGAAGGAACATCTACACATCCAGGGTCAGGGAGCATCTGCGGTCAGGGAATGGGGATGGATTTAAATTCCACGGGGCTCTGTTAGGAGGACAGGATGCAAAGAGCCAGGTGCGCACTCACGCACACAGACACGCGCCTTCACTCGAGCAGGGACATCGACTCCGACTCTCTCGAGCCAGGCGGCAGGCCTCACGGCTTAAGCAGTCATAAACCCAGCTCTGTCTGGTGTGCTGGGGATGGTGCTTATCCCGAACTGCGGGTCCCCAGATGGCCTGGGCCGCCGCAAGCCCTCCCAGAGAAGTGGTCATCAGCACACGCTTCCTGATGCGGGAGCAGGCGACACACAGGCATCCTCACTCGACTTCGTCTGAATCAGCAGCTCTTGTTTTGCTCAAGCTGATTTGTTTACTAGCACTCAAGAATACCTCCCTCGGATCATCCTGGGGAGAGAGGCGAGGAGGAGGCGGTGAGCAAAATGCCAGGCAGTGGAGGCAGCCGAGGGCTCAGGGAGGGAAGAGAAAGAACCACTGTGGTCACCCGAAAGTTCTTTCCTACAAAGCTCGAGCCTCCCTGTTGCTGGTTCAGCCTGGAAGCCCAGTGCGCCCGGCCACTTGCACACGCCTCTACGAACCAATGGCTTCTGTCGGGGGAGCCAGCGGACTCCCACAGTTATTCATATCTCACCCTCACGACAAGCTGCCGGACAACAATCCCCTTTGCAGAGGACAGAGCTGAGCTCGGAGAGATGTGCTGCTTGGTCTGTGGCCCCACAGCGTGGCGGGGGCACTGCTGGGCTTCCAGCGCTGACCTCTCTAACTCCGAGGCGGGAGCCTGCTCAGCACACTGGGCTGCCCAGAGTTGGGGCCTGGGGAACCACGTAAGCAGACGGGGCCCCTTCACTCAGGCGGTGAAAACAGCTGGCTTCCCATGCCCCGGGTAACAGAAAAGGCTAGACAGGCGCCTCCACCCCAGGCACAAGCAGCAAGCCCTGAATTCGTCTGTAACACAGATCTCAGAGGTAAACTGGCCCCACGCTGGGCTCGGCTTCTCCAAGCTGCTGGAAACCCCACGGGAGACAGCAACTAACATAGGCCCTGTCCAAGCTCCTCAGCCGTCACCCTCAAGAGGGGCCAACTAGTTGGGGAGGTCGCCGTCTCTCTCTGACAGAAAGACATAAGTACAATTCCATCAGACCACACAAGTCACCCCCAAACCGGAGTTCTAGTGGAAAGAGCCCTGGACCGGAGCCACAAACACTGGGCCCCACGCCTGTCTGTGGCTCTCACCAGGGGTGTGAGCTCGGTGTGCCCCTCCCGGCACCCCCCCCAGTCTGAGAAAAGGACCAAGTGACACCAAGTGTAATTTAGCATTTAAAGTCCCCTTGTAGTGATAAAATGCAGTTTTTAGCTAGATGCCTTCTCGTTGAGAAGACTCAAAACAACAAAGACATCTGAAAACCAAAGGGAAAAATCACCACACATGAGATGGGGAAATGGCTTTTGGGGCCGAATCCTACAATTGTCACAACCTCTAGGAGTTTTGTTTTAAAGAAACGTCTCCAGGGCACCTGGGTGGCTCAGTTGGTTAAGTGACTGCCTTCGGCTCAGGTCATGATCCTGGAGTCCCGGGATCGAGTCCCGCATCGGGCTCCCTGCTCGGCGGGGAGCCTGCTTCTCCCTCTGACCCTCCTCCCTCTCATGCTCTCTGTCTCTCATTCTCTCTCTCGCAAATAAATAAAATCTTTAAAAAAAAAAAAAAAAGATTAAAAAAATAAATAAATAAAAATAAAGAAACGTCTCCATTCAGGCACAGACCCTTCGTTTCCCTCTGAAAGTCAAGTGAGTAGGGCCCACCTCTTAAATGGGTCAAGTACTGGGCACTCAGAACGATTTTCCAAACCTCGGTCTCCTGTGGCCTTAATAAATAAAGCTGTGAGGTAGGAAGAACAGGAACCCCTTAATTTTGGAGATACAGAGACAGAGGTGGAGACAGTCAAGGGCCTGGCAGGGTCCTCCGTCAGGTCTTAGGACGGGCGTCCTGAGCCCAAACCAAACGCCCTTTCCGATCTAGTGAGCTCATGGAGCTCCAATCGGGGCTCAGTCGCAGTGGTCGCGTGCCCAGAGCAGGGGACGTTCAGAAGTCCTGCTGCTGATGGCGCTCGTGCGGGAGGTGGGCGTGGGGGGTGCTGCTCCAGAGCCCGCGGGAGGTGGGGGAGGGGAGGAAGCGGGCCGGGGCCGGGGGGGGGGGGTCAGCGGGGGGCCCGTGTACCTGCAGTGGTGGGCTCGGTCGGGCTTGATGCTGCAGCATTTCGGGCACTTGTACACCACCTGCCCAGGCTTCAGCTGTAAGCTCTCGATGAATTCTTTAGTGGCATTTCCTTTGGGCACCGCCCCCTGTTGGAAAGAGAAAAGGCATCAGGGCTGGGCTTCCAGCAGGTCTGATGCTCCACGGTGCAGACGGTCCCTTGGGAGTGGCAACTACCCACACGGACAGGACAGCTTTACCCCAACAACGTGTGTGTTCAGAATTATGCCAACACCGATGGACACTTACGGACAAGGAATTTTCCGGAGGAAAAGTGAACGATTTTTCTAGAGTGAACAGTTACATTGTTCCTGATAATTTTTTATAAAGATTACTTATTTATTTATTATTATTTTTTTTATTAAAGATTTTTTTATTTATTCATTTGAGACAGTGAGATAGAGAGAGAGAGAGCATGAGCAGGGAGAGAGGCAGAGGGAGAGGGAGAAGCAGGCTCCCCGCCGAGCAGGGAGCCCGATGCGGGACTCAATCCAGGGACTCCAGGATCATGACCTGAGCCGAAGGCAGACGTTTAACCATCTGAGCCACCCAGGTGCCCCGATTACTTATTTGAGGAGAAAGAGAGAGAGAGAGAGGGAGGGAGAGAGCATGAGCAGAGAAAGGGGCAGAGGGAGAAGCAGGCTTCCCACTGAGCAGGGAGCCCGATGTGGGGCTCGATCCCAGGACCCCAGGACCATGACCTGAGCTGATGGCAGATGCCCAACTCACTGAGCCACCCAGGCACCCCATGTTCCTGATAATTTTCTATCTTCATCTTAGTGAAATAGTTTTCATTGAATCCATTCTTTCCTATGTAAATATTACTGTGAGGATTTGACTCACCGATTACTTTTTAGTCTGCGTTAAAATTTCCCAGTAACAGCTTTGGCCTTTTCGAATATTCATTGGCGGGCATCGCACCTGACAGTTCAGTTTTCCCAGGCCTAAGTTTGCAGCTCTGAACTGTTTAAACTAGAATTGGGTTTTATTTTTTACCAATCCTACTGTTGTGAAGCATCGGTAATCTATATTTGGTTCTTATGAATCCAAAAGCAACTGTGAGCACTGCCCTCAGATCTGACTAGCTTTTTGACCAGAACTGCCCTCCAATTCGCTATCCCATCCTTTTCATATGCTTGTGAATACTTGGTGTTTTGCTCTGTCAACACCTTTGGGTGGCAGACCCAAAATACCACCAGAGTCTACTGGGGCTGGTGCCCGTCTGAGCAGAAGGAAAACAGGCCGTGTCCAGGCCTCAGCCAGGTCCCAGTAACCGATCCTCACCAGGTGCCTACTTGGTGCTCACTGCTGTGGATTCAGGAATCAAACAAGGTGGCTGTCCCAGCAGGCTCCGGGTCTTTCGGAGAGTGACAACAATTCTAGAAGCCATTGTGTTGCCACCAACTAGCCAAGGCAACCACAGAAGTTTCTAGAGGTGAGGGCTTTTTTTGGTTTTGTTTAAGTAGGCTCCATGCCCAGTGCGTGGAGCCCGACGTGGGGCTTGAACTCACGACCCTGAGTTCAAGACCTGAGCTGAGATCAAGAGTCGGATGCTTCGGGCGCCTGGGTGGCTCAGTTGGTTGAGCGGCTGCCTTCGGCTCAGGTCATGATCCTGGAGTCCCGGGATCGAGTCCTGCATCGGGCTCCCTGCTCGGCAGGGAAGTCTGCTTCTCCCTCTGACCCTCCCCCCTCTCATGTGCTCACTCTCTCTCACTCTCTCTCTCTCTAATAAATAAATTTAAAAAAAAAATCTTAAAAAAAAAAAAAAGAGTCGGATGCTTCACTGACTGAGCCACGCGGGTGGCCCCTCAAGAGGTGAGGTTTAAGGATGGTCCCGAGGCACACACAGAGGTTTGCCAGGTGGGCCTGCGGGAGAAAAGGGACTGTGGCCGGCGGAGGGGCATAGGGAAAGACAAAAAGGTGAGCGTGAGCACGGCACATCTGGGGGACGGTGAGAAAATCAGCACGGCGGGGCCCCGGGCATGCAGTGGCAGCAGAGAGGCTGGACTAATGGGCAGGGGCCAGCTTGAGCAGAGCAAACGCCAGGCCTAAAGGCTGGGGCAGGATTCTCCTTCATGGGCCACCCAGAGCCATCAGGGAATATCTCGAGGATGACAACCCAGTTGCCTCTGCTGTGCGGGTCAGATAAGAAGAGGGAGAGCAGAGAACCCCACAGAGCAGTTAGGAGGTTACTGCTGATGGCCCAGTAAGTGAACACAGGGGTGGAGGAGAAGTGGGGAGGGAATTCAGATCCAAACAAAAGGGGCAGGGAACGAAATGAGTCCCGTGGTCGGGGAGAGGGCGTGCGAAGGGAGAAGAACACGAAGGGGTCTCACCTAGAGGAGCTGGTGAATGGCCGTGCCTGTGAGGCTCCAACCCGACCTGCAGGAAGGGCTCAGCTGAGGCTCGCCACAGAGACAGTGCTCAGCACACGGCAGCGCAGTGGACTGAATGTTTGCGTCTCCCCCAGATTCACAGGCTGAATCCCCCAGTGTGTGGTATTAGGAGGGGGGGCCTCTGGGAGGTGATGCGGTCACAAGGGTTCCGTGAGGCGATTAGGTCATGGGGTGAGCACCTTATAACCAGTCCTCAGAGCTCCCTCCCCCTGCCTGCCACGGGAGGACACAAGAAGTGGCCGCCTACGAACCAGGAAGTGAGCCCACCCCAGACGCGGAAGCTGCCCGGACCTTGATCTTGGACTTCCCAGCCTCCAGAGCTGTGGGAGATAAATTTCTGTTGGTCAGAAGCCAGCCAGTCTCTGGTGGTCCCGAACGGACTGAGACAGGTAGCCTGCATCCTGGGTCGTGCGTGGGAGACAACACGCAGCTTTAACAAGCTACGGGCACCCAGACTCTGATGCAGAGCTACCATACAAGAACTGTCAGCCGTGCGGCCCAGGCACTCGCATTTTTTTAAAAGCTCTCAGCAGGGCTGAGAACCACTATGCTAGACCAGGGGCTCCATGACTGGATCTACCTTGTTCAGCACCAGAGCCCCTAGCCCGGAAAAGGTCTATCGGTTTCCGGCATGGGGTGAAAGGAGCAGTGAAAGCAAGCAGAACAAAAAAGAAGGGAGCCAAGGGTGCCAGCCTTGGTGGTGGTGGGGGTGGTGGTGGTGGGGGGTTCCAACAGTGTGGCCCAGCTCCCTAGCAAGAACTGGGTCTAACACTGGGTCGAGTCACAGCTCTGGGGTGGGACTGCTCCACACCCGCCATCCAAGGTTGAGGTGATACCAGGCTGCTCTCGTCAGTGGGCAGCCACGAGCTACCACCATCAGGGAAGCTGATGAACAACAGAACCGGGGACCACTCCCAAGTCCCAAAGGGGCCCGGGAGGGGGAGCGACAGTGTGGTCTACTAGAGTGGGTAAGGTGGGGATTTCAGGGCTGACGGAGCATCCCTGGCCTCCAGTGGGGCTGATGGACTCTAACACGCTAAGGGAGGGGTTCCCTGGGTAGAAGAGATGAAAACTGGGTATCAGAACGTTTCCCACAAAGAAGGAATTCTGGGATAGGAAGAGCCACTGAAGAAACAGCAAGAACTTGGGAAATGCTGATGAGGCAAGGGAGCTGGAGTTTCATCTTTCGGAAAATGACTCACAGGGGACTAAGATCCTAGTTACGGAAACTGCAAAGACAAATCAATGAACAACTCTTCCTGAAAATCTACACCCCACCGAACACTGTGGGAAGTGCAAGCAAGCAATGGGGGCCTGGGTCTCAAACAGCGGGTGGGGCAGGCCCCCAGGTACCCCGACACAGCAAGGAGGCTGAGCACCTAGTGAAAGGCATGGCCACCAGGACAACAGGAGCTGGGCTGGCGACCCGGGAAGGCCCAGGAGGATCCTAGCGGGTGCAGCAGGACAGAGGCACCTGGGAAGGGAGACAGTCCAAGCAGTGGCCAGAGGTGGCCTGTCCAGGGAGTGCCGGGTAGAACAGAAGCACTGGAGCGAGAGGGTATGTGCGGGGGGTGGGGTATGGAGCGAGGGTCTGGCAGCGGAGAAAAGATTCAGTACCGCAGTTCAATTATGGGAAGATTTTCTATTTGTCTCAAAGAGGTCCCGGAGTGCCTCTCTGGGGAGGCAGGGGGAGCACTCTGTTCCCGTCTCCTCCTGCCCCTCACCCCACCCCTCCTGTGGCTCTCTGCTGGGCTCCCCAACTTTCCCCTGCTGACCCCTGTCACCAGCTCTTTATCTGTTACCACCCGCGCTTTCCTGTCTCATCAAGGACCTGCTCATGCCCGAGATGGGCAGCACATGGCTGACTAGGAACAGAGCTGTGCTTCCCCACTGGTCTGCCTGAGCGCCATGGGGCAACAGACAAACAGGGAACGAGAAAATCCAAAGGACTGCTCATCCACAGGAATGCTCTTCTCATTGGTGGAGGCTCAGGACTTGGAGTGGGACAGAGATGAGGTCCTGAGAAGAAACCTCTGGTACACAGGCACTGTGGGCACCAAGATGCTGAAAACTACACGTGATTCAGGGTAACCATCACCTCGTGGTGGCGGGGAGGCTGGGAGAGGAATGGAGTGGGGCGGGATGGGAGGGATACAAAGAGTTTGCTAAACTGTCTTTATGATGTTTTACTTATGAGGCTGGAGGGGAGTGAAGATATCATATCATCATATCATCGTACTATCCTTTATATCCTTTCAATTGTCAGAAGTGTGTCATTAAAATTTTTTCTAAAAGTTCAAAAAAGTAGAAAAAAAAATCTGGTCTGCAAAATGCAGGCAGGTGGCAGAAAAGCCTAAGATAGAGATTTTTTTTTTTTAAGGTTTTATTTATTTATCTGACACAGAGAGACACAGCGAGAGAGGGAACACAGGCAGGGGGAGTGGGAGAGGGAGAAGCAGGCTTCCCGCGGAGCAGAGAGCCCGATGCGGGGCTCAATCCCAGGACCCTGGGATCATGACCTGAGCCAAAGGCAGACGCTTAACGACTGAGCCACCCAGGTGCCCCTAAGATAGCAAACAAACTTTGGTAGGCAAGGACTCTATGGTATGTATGATGCCATTTAGGATATACCTCCTGACATTAAATATGCTATAAAAGTATATAGCTATTTAACATGGACAACATCTCTGACA